TCTGTCCTGTGAGGATACAAGAAGTCAGCCATCCACACACCAGAAGGGGGTCATCACCAGAATCCGATCACACTGGAGGCCTGATCACAGACCGCCAGCCTCCAGAACTATGAGAAATATATTTCTGTTGTTTATAAGCCACCCAGTCTATGATATTTTGTTATAGCAGCTGGAACAGATGAAGACAAGAGAGAACATGCCATACACCATCTTTGAACAGGGGGTGGAAAACCAGTAAGGACAGAAAAGGGTATGGCTATTGATGTGAAGAATTTTTTTTTTTTTAATTAAAAAAATTTTTTTAATGTTTATTTATTTTGGAGAGACAGAGACAGAGTGCAAAAGGGGGAGGGGCAGAGAGGGGGAGACCCAGAATCCAAAGCAGGCTCCAGGCTCTGAGCTGTCAGCGCAGAGCCTGACGCGGGCTGCAAACTCACGAACCGTGAGATCATGACCTGAGCCGAAGTCGGAGGCTCAACTGACCCAGACACCTAAGTGCCCCGATGTAATGGATTCTTTCATCACGTTCCTTAGCAATAAAATACAAGTTAAGAAAAGAAATCCCTAGAGCTGGGAGAACAGAATTTCAGCCCTATGGTGAAGGGGGCAGGAGAGGAGCAAAGAGAAGGAAGAAGAGGTTGTGCAGGACAAAAGGACAATGTTGTCCCTGCCTCCCCTCCTCCACACCATGAATGGAGGCTACTGTGGCTTGAAGCTCTTCGTTGCCTGTGTCAAAGACCAAATCCCAACTTCCTAAAGTTGCTCTAATGATCCAGTGCCATGGGGCCATGGGCTCCTCCTTCAAACAAGTGACCTTGGCTGGTTATCTCCATGGTAACAGCTCACATCCCAAACTGTTCCTTCCTGTGTGGGAAGAAACATTTCGGAAATGGAGAAAGGCAAAACCGAACAGTAGCTTTTTTTCTCTTATGACCCTTCTTCTTTGGCTAGTCGTACCCTTTTCCTGACCATTGCAGTCTCCTGAGGAAACCGTGCACAAAAGAGACAGTTCAGTGACTTTATTTGCAGATGTCCATCCAGGACACAATTTAAAAAGTAGAAGCCGGGAGCGGCTTTTCCTTCAGTTTCATACAGCACTTGGTATTTTTCACACCCCCCCCCCCCCCCCCGCCCCCAAAGGGAAAGGGCAGTATGTCCTCCTCGTGGTGGAAGAGAGGGACGGCAGGTCAGAGAGGTGGGGTGCTTTCCGCACAGGCGCGGAGCAACAGAGCCACGGAGTTAGGCTAGAAAGCCAGACATAACAAGACTGAGCCTCTACTGAAGCCCCATTCACACCCCGCCTGCCTGCGGTCCAGCCCCTGCCTGAGCGGCCAGCCTGGTCAACGAGCTGACCTATCTCCCTCCAGCCCTAGACTCTGCCTCCTGTCCCATAAAGCCATGACACTCCCGGTGATTTTCTCCAACAGGATGCCTAGATGTGGGGCAACCGCGTTGTAAGCTCACTGTTCTGTCTGTTCCACAGCGTCTATGATCAGAGTGACATTTTGCAGGATGGTAACTGACTCTTCCTCAGCTGAACCCCGGAAGTGCCTGCCTGAACACAAAACCCTCCAGTTGTGGATCTCAAATGCACCATGGGGTCTACTTTCCAACCAGAATCACAAGCCAAGAGCACTCTTTCCCTGGCCGGATTTCAGCCTTTCCCGGTAGTTTTGATCCCATGATTCTGTCCGTGAAAGAAAACTTTTTCTCTGCAGCATCCCTGCCTGACTTTGACGTACAAAGGTGTAATTAGAACAAGCAGGATGATCCATTTACCTCATCCCTAACATTTCAGTGCTTTAAAATATGTTTCTAATATCCTAGGTGCATAGGGCCAAATTCTCTTCTCAGTTTTTCACATGCATGAGTAAATCCACACAGACTAAACCCCTTGGGCCTTAGGTTTTGCTTAGAAGTTCTTTTTTTTAAAGAAAACAAATATTCCATTAAAACGACACAGTGTACTCTTCATATTTTTAGGACAATTAGAGTTTAGAATTCCCTCTTCTTCCGCCCCTGGTTAAAAAGAAAAAAAAAAAAATCTTAACTCTTCCTTCACCAAGAATGACATGAAGCCAGGATTAATGGAAAGGCTTTCTTTTCAGATAATGTTCTCATGTTATGTTGTCAAAATACCAACTGGTGACTTGAGATCCTTGATGCGCTTTGGGAAGAATCCAGGCTGTCCTTTTGCCAGATAAATACTTTAGGGAGACAGTTATTTGTGAACCTAATGGAAACATTTACTTGAAACAGAAAAGCTAAACTCACAGGAAACAGAGAAACATAAAAGTAAGGCCCCTCTCTACCAAATGCTTGTCTCAAAATGGGTCACCGGTTTTGGTCATTTTTCTTTAGGACTTCCGACTGTGGAAATAGCAATCATAAAGGAGAGGTCGCAGCATCCTGGCCGCTGGCCGGGCCTCAGCCCGTGCGCTGGAGCGAAATCAACACCAAGTGGGAGGAGCTAGACAGTCAGGTGACTGGGACCGGAAGGAGCGCGAAGGCCGACCCACCGCGTGGGCGCTTCGCTTTGCCCCTAAGCTTATGTTGCTGCGTGTGCTGCAGCTCGCTGCCCCTTAGTCTGTGCTGCCGTGGCCACTTGTGGATAGTGTTTGTGTAGCCAACGTGCAAATCAAATGTTTTCCGGCGACCAAATTTGGAGCAACATCTTTACAGCAATTGCCATGTCACAGGCGTGTTCAAATTCAAGGGTCCCACAGCCCCCAAATTTAAAATGAGAGGTGGATGCAACACCCATCTACAGTTTTATTTTGTTTTGTTTTATTCATGGCAAAGCATATCAAAGGATGGGGAAGCCCAGCCCTGCTCACTCCATGATTCAGGCAGAAATAAGATACAACTTCGTGTGAGTCTGACTCGGAAGATGATCCGGATCCAGAGACGGCTTGGAAAATGGCTGGCATGTCCTGGAAACTAGGAATTATATTGAAGACTCCAAGACAGAACCCATAATTTCGTAGGGAAAATGTGTTTTATTTAAATTAAAAAATAGTGTGAAAATTACAAACTGTTAAATACAGAAGACAATTTTATACAACTTAATAGAATAAGAAGGAAGTATATACATCACTTTTTTAATAGGCGCAGATAGACTTGCACCAAACTTCAGGATTAAGCAATGGAAAATGTGACCATGCACAAGTCCGTCGCAGTGAAGTTTCAGAATTCAAGTGATTCCAGGCAAGGAGCCAAACTTAACTTGGCTTCTTTCACCTTAAACAGCCCCCTTGGAGTAAATCCACACTCGCAATTTTAAAGTGAACGGCGGGCCCTTCCCGCCCCCCCCCCCAAACATAAATTTCCTCTAGCACTGTGTTAAGGCAAACTGATAAACCAGTTTCTCCACTGTTAACCCTTCCATGGGAACAGTGGTTATTGCTATCTCCAATCAAGGGAGAGTATGTCTTTTAAAAAACAAAAAAAATCTTTTTTTTCTTTTTTTTTTTTGTTTTTTGTTTTTACTAGAATTAAATTTGACCTTTTGGTGTGTTTCTCTTCCTGCTTGCCTTCAAGGGCCGAACGGCTCTGCTACAAAGCTACTGACCGCAGGAACACACGGAGACATTAGCAAGCATTCCTGAGCGTTTGCTTTTAGATTTCTCGTCTCTCGGCTGAAGTATTAACATTCTGCTACCCAGAGAACTTTGCAGAGTACGATGTGGTATGTGCCTCCCTGGTTCACTCCTGGGAAAACGACAGCCTGAACGGGGGGGGGTGCGCCCTGGATTTCCCAGTTACGTGCGTTCTGGGTCTCCAACTGCTCCTTTAAATAACAGATCCATTCTCAGGCTGACTGGCTGAGTGGGAAATATTTTGTCCAAGCTTCCTCACACCAGGCCATACAGGATTTATCACAGAGTCTTAAAATCCAAAGACATCCTCCCGGCCCCCTGGGGATCTCAATTCAGGAGCCTCATGAAGGCAGTGAGCCTCTTGATGACAAGCCCAGGACCACACAGCAGATCAGCGTCCGGGCTCGGGATCAGAAAACAGAACCCGAACCCCTGCTTTGTGCGACCTCCGCCTGAGTATGCCCTTCTAGGTCTCGGCGCCGAGACGAAACGCCACACGGTGGAGGCCCACGTTACGTTGACTCCCGGCTCCGAAAACGACGCTGGGAAAAAAGCAGCAGCAGAGCTAGTGGCTTGGCCTCGTTCAACCCCACCATCACCCCTTCTGGAAAGATCCAGAAGAGTCCCCTGCATGGCTATTCAGAGTGCAGGTTAGATTCTGGGGAAGCCCTTGCAACCAAGAAAATGTCCCGCCAGCATGAGAGGCCGGATGGTCTGAGGTCAGAGTTCAAGGTCATAGGTTAGACAAAGGGTCAAAATAGCAGATTACATTTTATAATCCCAGCCAAGGTTATCAGGCTTAAAGGTTGCTTTTTCTTTTTTCTTACAGTATGCAAATGAGCCAGGTTTCGCTCTCCAGCTTTCTGCTATCAAACAAAAGTCTTCCCTCAGACATCCCCCCTCTAACCTAAAAGACCTCCAAAATAAGTGCTGTAGACCACTACAGAGACACAGGAGAGGTACTTACAGCCAATCAGATCTAGAACAAAGCTCTAGGCAAATTAGCAGATCAAAACTAGTCCCTCAGCGTGTCCTGGGTGTTGGGCAGCCCTGGGAGGGGGGCAGACGCCGCAGGAGTTAGTTCCCCAGGGCATCCAGCGCGGAAGCAACAGCAGGCACGGCCACCTGCCGAATTCTGAACCGGAACCCCAGCCCCCAGGCCCCAAAGTGAGCGTACACACTGCACGTCTTCAGGGCTTTTCCGTGGCAGGTCTACACCGCAGGCCCGGCGCAGGCGTGGACAACTGGCTGCTCCCTCCGGCTGAGCCTTGGCCCCCCATTCAGGGGCTTGCCCAAGGTCTCTTTAAAGTGGCAGCGGCATGCGCTGCAAAAGTGAAACCAGACACGGAAAGTGTCCGTCCCCTCTCTGAGAGTGCTGGCTGATGGGGGGCCCCGGGGGTGCTAGGAATTCTGATGGATGTTCTCCGAGGAGCCTTCGCTGCTTTCGTTGAGGAGCGTCTCCGAGGTCTCCCCCAGCTCATCATCCGCCCCCTCCTCCTGGATGGTGAGGTGCACGTCCGGTGTGGAGGACTCGGAGCTCACGCTGTCGCCTTCCATGGAGCAGAGGGTACAGGACAGGGCGGGCGCCACACTCTCCTGCAGCATGTTTAGCATCATGGGCACCTGCACCGACCTCAGGCCCGACACCATGGGCAGCGGCTTCATGGCCTCCCCCCAGAGCCTCTCCTCATCTTTGTACAGCAGCAGCAGGCTGGACTTCTTCTCCCGCCTCTTAGATTTCATATAGCCCAGCATGATTCCGATCAAGAAGATGCCGTAGAAGGACATGACGACCAGAATGTAGAAGTACTCGTTGCCGTTGCTGCTCCCGCTGCCCGGCACGTGGGACACGAGGTGGCCGCTGGGGGCTGCGGTGCTGGGGTGCGTGCTGTTCAGAGGCTCCATCTCAGTATTGAAGCACCACTCAGCCAGGGTCTGGGGAGAAACCTGCAGGTTAGAACTCTCCCACGGGTCCACGGTGCAGGGAGGGGGGGGGGGGGGGGGGGGGGGGGGGGTGAGCATAAGGTTTGTGGGATTGCAACATCGTAAAAGCCTGTAACTGCACCGGGCAGTGGCGGTAAGAGGTCCCACAAACTAGTTGGCAGAGGTTAGCAATGAAAGGTCAGAGTGGAGGGGGAAGATAGGGAGAAACGTGACCAGGGGTTTTCTTTTTGTAGTGTATACATGTCCTCATAATTGCATTTCCTAAAGTGAGCGTGTCAAAAGCATTGTCTTTTTTTTTTTTTTTTTTTTTTGAAAAGCAAAAGGAAAAAGTATAAGACGAGGGGGCACAGAGGAAAATAAATAACATTTGAATCACTGGGAAGCTTTCTCTAACTGAGCGAAAGAGAGAAAAAAAAAGAAAAAGAAAGAAAGAGAGAAAGAAAAAGAAAAAGAAAAAAGCTAGCTTACATTTTGCTTCTCAGACCCAAACCTATTTTTAATTCAAACCCAAGTTTCCTTACAACAAAGAGAGGAAAGGAAAACTGCATCTGCTGGTTGCCAGAAATATCCTTGTTTCAAATGTTTCTGAAACAAAGTTGCATTGCTGACTTACCGAAGGCTGGCAAATTTCTTCCCAAGTCCGGAGTTGCTAAGCGGCCAAGCCCAAGAGCGTGCTTCCTCTGTGCGGGGCTCAGCTCAGCGCTCTGACACTCTGCTCCCGGGATATATAGTCAAGAAGTGCATCGTCACGTGTCCAGGGAGGAAGATTTACAACAGAGGTTGGTCGTGGCAGAGTGAACAGTGCACTCGGAGCGGTGCAGTTCAGCTCACTGAACTGCACAGCTGTGCGAAGAAAGAGAGAGTCGGGGAAGCAGGGATGGCTTGTCATCCTCCAGCCCAGAGCCAGAGTTTCCAGGTGGCCCTGAATATAGTGAAAGGGGAGGGGCGGGGTGAGAATGTGCCCACTGGGAACGGTTACCCCAAAGTCTGCGCTCATTGAAAATTAGTTAACTCCCTCTTGGGGAAAAACCATGATGCCTTCCACAGGTTTCCAGAGACCGTCAGGCACCATCATCTGGATAAAGGACAGTTGGAATCAAGTGCAGGATTGACTGTCAAGAAACTGGGACTTACGTTTCTGTTCTTCCTAACGACGCAAACTCCATAAATCCTTCCCAAACCTTTCTGCACTTCAGATTCCTGGTCTGTAAAACTGTTGGAGGTGAGGGCTTCACCATGCAGAATTCTATGGACTGTGTGAGCTTTTGGATCCCTGTCAGCTTAATCATTCTAAGATTTAAGGCTGCCTGGTGCCAGATAGCCTTTTGAAAACATGGAGACGTTCTACCCGTCTTCTGCAGCCAGCTCATAGATGTATTTTTCATAATAAAAAAATCTATTTTTTATAATAAACAAAGAATCCTCCAGCTTCTCTTCAATAGCGTGAGTAAGGTGAACATGGGTTATGGTGCAGGGCACCATGGTGGGTAGGTGTTGCCCCCGTTCGACGGCACTCAGCTCCTCCTTGGTGGCGTCACACAGAAGCCATCCACACATCTCTTGGCTGTCTCTGGAGGGTCGGGGGAGGGGCAGGAATTCTGCCAGTGACCCGCTGAGCTCAGTTCAAGCTTTTAAAACCTATGCAGACCTTGTGTTAAAATGGCCGCTGTGATCAAACTTGGAAAAGAGATTGAAGACTTTGATGTCAGTCCATCCGCTCCCTGGGATGCTTATTCTGAGAGGCTATTAGTCCAAGTTAAAGTAAACTGGGAGGGATGCTGCGTTCCCGGTTGTCTGCGGCCAATGAATCGCAGCCAGGCTATCTTGGGGAATCGACCCTAGAGAAAACATTTCTCGTGGTTCTGCTGCTGTTAAACCAGAGCTCAAGGCAAGCATGGCAACATCTGGAATGTGTAGAGCCCAAGCACTGGGACTTTCACAGCTGCTACACGAACTCACCCAGCTTCGTGCCCAGACCTAAGTCTATGAGGACACCTGTGCAAAGAGCGGGAGAATGAGCATGTGCTCCTGTCTTCCCCACCGGTCTACTCACCTTATGCTTTAGGCTGTGTTCACCCGTAAGTCCCCAGCTGGCTCCAAGGTCGAAGCCCTGACCATTCCAACACCAAGATCATCTGTACACTGGACATTTGGTCATACCAATAAAGACATCCTCACGGCTACATTGATACTTGAAAAGCTGCACGACTACCTTGGCCAAGGTAGATTTGGCCTTTGCACCTTGTTTTTATCATAAGCACCTGACAACTTCCATCTACAACGATGCTGACAGTGGTTTGTCAGGGTCATCGGAACGAGAGAGACATTGTTGATGGTGGAGCCCAGTATTGCATGTAATCCGTGCCTTGGGACATAACAGTGGCCAAACACTGCAAATCTACAACCCTCCGGAGGTGGAGAGGAGATGGCAGGTTTAAGAAGCAAGGAAGCATGAAGCCGGGTGCCGGGAAGCCGAGTCTGAAGCCGAAGTTGCAAACGAGAGAAATCCTCCAAATCAAGCCAACGGTCCCAAGACAACAAAACCAAGAAAAAGATGGATGAATCCAGAATGAAGTCCAAAAGGCAAAGCAATTCAGAGACATAGGAAGAACAAAATCTTGTACAGGCACGAGGGAGGGAAGAGCCCAGAGGAAACTTGGTTGGATGCCTGCTGGGTGTCTCTGCTTCTTCTGGGACCCCATGCAGACTCCACGCATAGATGTTTCTCCTACAGTTAAAGAAATGATGCAAGTGAAGCACTTAGTGCCATATCTGGCAGAATGCGTGTGCCCCATCTATGCTTCCTGCTGTCATTTTTGAGAGTGCTTTGCTGCTAACGAGAACGTCAGGTTGTCTTCCGATGCGCATGTGCCTGACTTCAGATTTTTTATTGTTGCTCTTTCCTCTTCCATCAAGAATAGAATGGAAGACGTGGGGCTTGCCACCTCATTACCCACAGCCCAACCTTCTCTCCAGCTCTCACCCGTAACAGTATTACGCGAACGATGGCACTGAATAATGGCATACAATGTGAGGGAGGAAGGGAATGCATCTGCCAACTGCACTGTATCAGGGAAAGGATGGGGACATGCAACAATTACTAATTCCTTCTACTCTGTGTCACAGTTTCAAGAGACAGCAATGTTAAAGAAGAAAATCCTTTTCCAAATATTTTCTCCTAGTCTGTGGCTGGCATTTCCATTTTCTGAAGTGTCTCTTTTTTTTTAATTTTTTTAAATGTTTATTTATTTTTGAGAGAGAGAGAGAGAGAGAGAGAGAGAGAGAGAGAGAGCATGGGCAGGGCAGGGGCAGAGAGAGAGGGAGACACAGACTCTGAAGCAGGCTCCAGGCTCTGAGCTGTCAGCCCAGAGCCTGACGTGGGGCTGGAACCTACAAACCGTGAGATCATGACCTGAGCTGAAGTTGGATGCTTAACCAACTGAGCCACCCAGGTACCCCCCCCTTTTTTTAATCAAAGAAAATATTTTGTTCAAGCTCCCAAAACAAATTTGAGGAATTAAGTTGGGTTTGAACTGAAGAAAAAAGCCAAGTGGGATCTGGAGAGAAAGTTTTCATTTGGGGGAAGTTGAAATCCATACATACATTCTAATCAAAGACCTGTCCCAAGTAGGGTTTTTCAAGTTTTTCAGAGTCTGCCAAGCCAAACCCTTCATGGCCTTTGCTACTCTTGTTTGGCTCTTTCCCTTCCCTTTTTCTTGCTTGGCCTTCAGTCTTTCTCTTTGTCTCTGGTTCATTCATATGGGGTACTGCCCATGCTGGCCTAGAAGACTCTTTGTTCCTCTTAAAATCAGTTTCTGTTTGCATATCATCTTTTTCTCCTTGTGCCACTTACTAAGTTTTTCTCTTGACAATGTTGGGGTACCATCACAGTTGCTACCTCTTGAACATCTTTCATTACAGCATCACCATCAGGACGCCTGGGTGGCTCAGTCGGTTACGTGTCCAACCTTTGATTTGGGCTCAGGCCAAGATCCGAAGGTTCATGGGATCCAGCCCCGCATTGGACTGTGCACTGATACCACAGAGCCTGATTGAGTTTCTCTCTCTTCCTCTCTTTCTGCCCCTACCCTGCTTGTACACATGCTCGTGCTCTCTCTCTCTCTCTCTCTCTCTCTCTCTCTCTCTCTGCCTCTCTCAAAATAAATAAATAAACATTTTAAAAAAACACTATCCACTTAAAGAATACTTTTAAGTCTGGTGAGTTCCTTTGGGGCATTCATTTTTCTCTTTTCAGCATGCATGTTCCTTTTCCACTTACTCTATAAGCTTTTAGCCATATTTTACCTGCAAAGTGACAAACTAGGAAACTCACAGAACCCAGGTAGTCCACGCTGACCAGAAGCTTCCACACATCTGCTTTCCAGGCAGCCCCTTCCACACTCCCCGGAGTCCCCAGCCGTTGTGCTGTACTTCGAGAGCCAAGATGCCCCAGAAATCTTAACAATGTCCTTTGAAGAGCACAACTTTCTTCATATTGATAGATGCCAACTCATCAAAATTTTTCACAGTTTGTGCTTTTTTTTGTATCTTAAGAAATTTGGGGGGCACCTGGGTGGCCCAGTCGGTTAAGGGTCTGACTTCGGCTCAGGTCATGATCTCATAGTGTACAAGTTCCAGCCTCACATCGGGCTCTGTGCTGACAGCTCAGAGCCTGGAGCCTGCTTCGGATTCTGTGTCTCCCTCTCTTTCTGCCCCTTCCCCACTTGTTCTCTGTCTCTCTCCGTCTCTCAAAAACAAATAAATGTAAAAAAAAAAAAATTTTTTTAAAGAAAAAGAAAAAAAGAAATTTTGTTTCAGGGCGCCTGGGTGGCTCAGTTGGTTAAGCATCCAATTTCAGCTCAGGTCATGATCTCACAGTTGGTGAGTTTGAGCCCCGCATTGAGCTCTGTGCTGACAGGGCAGAGCCTGGAAACTGCTTCAGATTTATGCTTCTGTCTCTC